CTCCCCCAATCCCAGGCTGAGGTGGCACTCGTATAATAGGCTACACTTGAACTCCATTCGAACCATCCAGGCATAATATGGGCTATACGAAAACAAACGAATAAGGGGATAGCGGAGTCGCTTCAGCTGAACACGGTTAAGCCGAAAATGTCTGTCAGCTGAAGAGAAATTAAATCCCTGATTTTTCCCTCCTTCTATTTGAGTTTCAATAATTAATTCCAAACAAAGTTCTCATTTTTTTCAATTTGGTTGTCCTCAGATCTCTCTCCTCCCCAGCAACAAAACCCCAAACTAAAGAAACGAAATCCCATTAATAATAATCGCCCCTTCCACGAACAAGGGACATAACAACGAAAAGGTGAATGGCATGTTTTCATTGTAGATTTATGTTCCTTTACTCGTTGCTAGTCGAAAAGTATTATGGTCCGTGCTAGCACGAGATGCATGCGGGCAAGTCACAAGTCTAGCCAGCTAGAAAGCAAGAACGATTGCATATTCTGATGAGAGCTAGGCTAGAGTTAGTTACCTCGGCCTACTATATTTTAAAAATCTCTTCTGCCTCGCACTTACAGGCAGTCACACAACCACCTAACAGTTCTGAAGTAGAACTACCGGTACGCAGTTTTCCACGCTCACTAAAATTAAATTAAAGGTGAAGATCCTCGGAGATCATATTGTCTTTTTTTTAAAAATAGGTAAGTGTTTAACGGCGCTTGCAATTGCATAATAAGGTCATTTAATGGCGCGGGACACATTAAACATTTACAGTCGGGATGGAATTTTGAATTTTGCCCGGGGTGCGGCGGAAGCCTATCTTATCGATTTTGGACCACAAAGGGATCTTACTTTACGTGTGCAACTGGCACACAGGACCGCCAAGATTTTTCGCCCTTAACCAAGAGGGCTAAGTGAGTATTTTTAGAGCAGGGATGTGGCTGAAAGACTGCAGTAATAACGAACCAAGGTGTAGCAGTATACAAGCTGCAGAAAGAGTCAAGAGCCGGAGGGGAGGGGGGGGGGAGGTGAAGGGGTGGGGACAGAAAGTGGAGAGGAAAGCAGGCGACAGAATATTGTGCGAGAGCAAGAAAGGATGTGAAAGGATACAGTTTTTGAGAAGAACATTTTCCGTCGCTATCCTGTTTTGAACCCGGGACCTATTGAATGAAAGGCGAACACCTTAACCTCTAGACCACCGGAGCCCACGGCAAAGTTTTCTGACCAATGATGTAACAGTATCAAGCGAGCCGTAATATTAGTTCTTACATACATTTCTTGCCATGAAAAGAACAGTGGAGTTATTTATATAATATTATCCTTTCACTGGTTGTCTTTGCGGACACAGACACATAAGACATGTACAGCACAGTAGACCTTCATAATTTGTAAATTATTCCAAAGAAGACACGAAAACCCTTAACTGCCCAGTGCCCAAGCCCATTATGACGACGAGGAAGGAAGAAAGCTTAGCGCTAGAGGCAATAAGCACCAAATTTACATTTACAAGGAGGGCAGCTCCTGTTGGCATGCAGTTATTGGATTAAATTGATACTTCACCCCCAACCACACCCCCAATCACAAAAAGTAGCAATAACATTTTCAAAAAATAATACGTTGAAAATTAAGGTAAACTGCCCTGAATGGATCCAGATCTATGTGCAGACACTTTCACTATAACCTAAATAAAGCAGAAGAGCTAACCCCACCCCCTCCCCACCCCAGAAAAAAACTCCAACAACACACAACTAAATTAAATAAATAACAGAACACCTCCACTTGAGTTGTCTGTTGGCTTATTATCTACCTTCTTTTCCGTTTTCACTAATATTATTAGGAGAGAGAGAGAGAGAGAGAGAGAGAGAGAGAGAGAGAGAGAGAGAGAGAGAAAGAGAGATCGCACAAAATAGCCAGCCTCACTCATTGTACGTGGCCACCATGATCCGCTGGCGCCCACACAGTGGAGATGTACAGAACAGATGGGCTAGGATTAATTTGATGGCCAGCACTTTCTCCCTGGTCTACTATGCTATTGCAACGCTTCGCAACTCTCTTCTGAGACCATCTTCATGCCCGTTGAGCCAGTCTGACCATTGAATGGACTTCGGACGAGAGTACAAACAGACAAACGTGTTAGTGCACGAACAAGAACAAAGAAAAGAAAAGAGACAAACTGATGTGAAAACCCACTCTTCCAGGTGCACCCCAACGCTAAAAATATTT